GTAGGGCTTATGATCCATCTAGTTATGAGACAAAGTGGTGTTGATTATGGTACGGAAGTGATGATTATGGTTTTGACCTAATGTGGCCTTGATTATGAGACAATTGTATTAGTTATCTCTAAAATGGCTATCCTCCAATAATCCAATTTTTTTTTTTTTTTTCCAGGTCTAACACTTGAAAGCTTGCATCTTCTTGCTCTAATTACCTTCTTATCTTTTAATTTTAATATATTTTTGGATTTTGAATTTAGTGAAATTACTTCTATAGTTCAAAAAAAAAAAAAAAAAAAAGAAGAAGAAGAAGAAAAGAAATTACTTTCTTGTAAACTTACGGATTAGTGTTTATCTTTAGTTGGTTGTTAAGCAAAGCGAGAAACTTTTATCCTTGCGCAACAAAGTGTAATTCCTTTGTTTTGATAGAAAATATTATTTGAATTTTTTTTTTTTTTTGAATATGACGAAAAACGAAAATCAATGAAAACTGAACTAATCAGGGCATAAAATATTTTTCAATGTCTTCAAAACTAAATTCCTACTAACACAATCACTATTGTTACCACCACCATTGTTGCCATTGTGATCACAACCACCCCACCACCACAACCACCACCACACCACCACCACTTTTCTTTTCGCTGTTCTAACAAAACAAACAAAACATAAAACATTGATCATGAAAAGACTGACCCTAAAAATGACAAAACACAGCTAATAGAACTGAGAGCTTGTAGAGATATATAGAAACACAAGCTACAAGGCCTAATACTTACATTTCCAAGATTAGTAAGCAAAGATTGCGATTTTACAGAAAAACAGAGAGAGATCAATTAGAAATATCAAATGATCCCAGGAGTTCCCCCAAACACTTCAGTAGGAATGTTTAAAAAAAAGGAAAAAAGAAAGTCCCCAATGAAGTGTTGTGGGGAAACTCTAGGGGACACCTGATGTTAACTCACTCTACTTGTTTTGGTTTGTTGGTTAGGCAATGCTTGCTAGCCCTACTATTTATTGTGAGTTGTACTCTCTGCATTTAGACCTATGTGTACCTTGAGGAAGATAGAGAATTCTAGTAGATAAAAAGCTGTTGGCACTGAACCTGGTTGGGAATGTGGGTTAGATGAAATGAAAGGAGGCTTGAATCATTGAGAGAGTTGAGTGGCCATCTTCCCTCCTATCTTTCTTACTCTGTCCTCTCTACTTGCCTTTCATTTTCAGCTTCCTTATGGATTACAATTGTACTTTTGATCAGATGCCAGAATTTCTATTTACTGTTCAAATACTTCTTCTGTCCTACAATATTAATCTCTTTTTGAGAGAACATGTAATTATAGTTTTAAAGTCAAATCAAAAGATGTTGATTTACCATATTGCCCCTTTATTCTCATTATTAAATATATTTATAATCATTTTCAAATGGTAATTTTGGAATAATATAAAATTTTCTATTTTGACTTTTCAAAATGAACAGTCATTTTGGGATATCAAAAAATGACAAAATGGACCAACAATATGGAATAGAGGGAGTAAAATTTTTGTATAAAAATTTTGTACAGAATAATGTGTCCTTTTATTTTATGGCCTTTCATTTTAATCCAAAATACCCAAATTGCAAAAATGTCATTCACATCATTCTGGATGAATTTCACATATAAAATTTGTGTTTAAAAATCATTTTTCTAATCTATAATAGGCTTCTTGTGATACAAAGTACTTCTTTTGAAGCCTGGATTTTTGTTTGGTAATGTTGTACAAATATAATTTTTTGTACAGAAATTTCATATAGGGGGTGTTTGGGAAACCAAGATTGAGGCTAAAATAGTCTCGTCTCAAATACTAAAAAAGCCAAATAGTCTCAAATATCTTAAATCAATAATTTATATTGAAAAAAAAACAAAAAACATCATTTCGGCAGCGGGGCAGCTACACTATCACGTTGACAGTGTAGCACATGGTAGTTGACAGCCTATTGCCTAAGATACTAAATGACGATTTTGCCCCTATACACTAATTTTGAAAAATGTGAGATTAGGGACAAATTCGTCATTTTAACTTCAAACATCATTTTAACACATTTTTTAATATAACAACTCAAATAAAAATCCATTACATTTTCCCAATTACAAAAACTAAAATAACCTATTAAAATAGTCAAAAAACCAAAAAACCTCTAAAATAGCCACTTCCCAAACACCCACATAGAATGATACAACCTTTTATGGTCCCTTTCATTTTAAGTCAAAACACGCATTATGACGCATAATTGTAAAAATGTTATTGTCATACCAGTCTGAACAAGTGTTACGTATGAAAAATTATGTTTGTGAATAATTTTAATCTATAATAGGCTAGAGGAACTATGTGTATTTCAAGGGGTGCCACCAGAAACATAAGAATTCTCTATTTTGGCACCCCTTTACATTTTTAAGAAAATTATACAGTAGCCTTGACCTCACTGCTATTAAGATATCTTATTAAAATTTGTTAGTTTATTTATTTAATTCTTTCAAATTTGTATGGAGACCATTGATTTGTGCAAGGGCATGATTTATGTACACATAAAACTTCACAGAAAATCAATATTTGGTTCATATTCATTCTAGGTTTAGGCTTTGCCACACGACACCCTCAATGAATCTAAACCACATATTAATTTTTGACATTTTTTTAATGAATTTTTCTATGCACACATTATTGAAAATGTCATACTAGTCAACGCTAAACTAGGTGGATCTCTCTCTCTCTCTCTCAAATTAATGAGACTCTAAGAAACCAACCTCACCACCAATAGGGGTCAATCATAGTCTCACTTTTGTTGTCTCTTTGTGGCAGTACCCCTAGGATAAAATCATGGTTCCGCCCTTGGCTTCTTGTGATTGTAAATATAGAGGCTACTCATATCTCATTCCTGACCATTGATGAGTCCAATCAAACTTGAATTTCTCAAAGTATCTCAGAGATTATAAGTAAATTGGATTGTATCACCTGATTAAACAAGGCTTTAGTTACCTTGCAGTCCTTAAAAAGCTAATGCAGTGGCATGTGAAGTACTTGATTCCATAATGTATAATGGGGTTCTAAATACATAAGAAAAGTGGAAAAGGATTGGTCTCACATAGAGATGAGATGAGAGACCACAGAACGTATGGAATCATGACCACTCACCCCAATATTATTCTCTACCCTTCACTTTGCACACAATTCTGACCAGGTTCATGTCTGAAGAATATTTTCACTAGCATTTTTTTTTGCAGACTTGGTTGGCTCCAAGTACATGGAGCAATTGGATCGTAAGCTGGTTCGGGATGACATTGATAGATTCAACCTAAAAGGCCCAAGTACTTCCAATTTCGCTGACCTAAGGCAATTAACTAGGCCTATTCCTTCGTTTCGGCCTCCAATTTAGCAAATCTATTGTTTTAGGTTAATTAATTAATCTAGGAATTTTGGTTTTTAGAGTTGCTTCTTTTGGCATTGTTTTTTTGACTTTGTAGAATCCAATTTTGAGTTCTCAAATTTGCCATTGTTGGTAATGTTCATATATATATTTTTTTAATTATTTTAGCACTTAGCAAGGAATTGCTTTAGTTGGCTATTCTCCTGATAGTTTTAGGTTTTGTTTTTATTATAAATAACATTATAAGCCTTATGAGTAATCACTTTTTTTGTTGATTATTAACATTTTTTGAGAGCTCTTCTCTTTTCTTCCACATCCGTTGGTTTTCTTTGAAATCAACAAAGTTATTGATGCCTTTTATTCTGGTATTATTTTAGAGAATCAATAGATTTGAAAAATGGTTGTTACTATTCTGTCCACTGCCTTTGTTTTCTACACGCTATCCTGCATTAGTTTCTCCCCCAAACATCTCTTATAAAGGGCATCATTCTAAATTGAATGAAGACAGAGAACCTTCATTGTAAATTGCAGGTGTGGTATGCATTATTTTTCCAGCCAAGCATAGGAAGGTAAAGCAAGGTGTTGGAGGTTAAAATAACTATTTAAAACATATTTAAAAAATAGCTTACTAGTTTAGGTTCTTACCTCATTTGATCTCCGAAAGACAGTAGTTTAGGTACTTGTCTTATTTTTTACGGGTTGGGTTTTTGTCAAATTCAAATATGAACTTGGCCATCATGTTTGGGCTCATAGGGGCTACCATATGCCCCATTTCAATGATTCAAACCATTCATTTTATAAGATATTTTGTGCATATCATTCATGAAGAAATATAGGGAATGTACCCTTTTCCACTTTTCTCATGTATTCAGAACCGATCCAATTGCTCCAAGTACCTGGAGACAACTAATGGTATAGTAGGTATATCATTAGTTGTGAATGTGCAACATCAAGTGGAAAACGAAATGTGGTAAAATAGAGGAGATGATAACTGCAACATTATTGATAGTAGGCGGACCACGTATAGTCTTGCCAAGCAAACATGGTGTTTGTTGCCTTATAGAGATCGTTTGACAATTTTACTAGGACTTTTAAGCTGTGTTTGGATCTTAAATTTGGTTAAGGATTCGAAAATGAAAACGAGAAAAGGCGAGGAAAATGAAGAAAAAAATTTAAATTATATTTCATTCTTATTTTTCTTATCTTTTTCTTTTTCTTTCTAAATTTCTACCCAAATCCATAAACCAAACACAACGTTAGGGTGTGTTTGGATTTTGAATTTAAAGAGATTTGTAGAGGAAAAGGAAAAATGGAGGAAAATGTGACTCAAATATAAGCTTATTGACACTAATTAGCAAGAAAATATTGGTGGCCGATTTTATCCTAGTGTTTGTATGTGTCTAATCTCCTCTCTTCATTTTTGCATGGTGTTCATTTGTTACATTGAGCATGATAATTTTTCAAATTATGCTTTCTAATTAATTGCAAATTCTTACTTTTATCAAAAAGTCTGCAACTTTTCATGCCAAATAGAAATGCAATGCTTTTCTACTCAAAACACTTTCCAAAAGTTGAATCATAAAACATGATAATGTTTTTCATAAGTATTATCGTTATTGTAAAGATACGGTACATAGTGGATGCCTCATTTGAACCTTGAAGATTGTTTATTTAGAAGAAGGCATGTATGTGCGTTTCTAACAGAAATCACAGAACTAAAAAAAAAAAAAAAACAGAAAATTACAAAATCATTAAAACCGTCTGGGATGAAGCTTCTTTTGTAAGATGCTCAAGGACTCTCTTCCTTCCGATGATCTTCCATGAGTCACAAGCATGCAAGACATCCCATTTCCCATTCCCGGTATAGTATCTTGGATGCGGATCAATCATCATCTTGTCAAGCACCGCCGCGTTGTTTAGTATATAAATCGCAAACTCAATTTCACTAAAATGGCCACATGTTCCGGTAATCACTACTTCTTTGAGATAATCATGGAGGCACCTTGGCAACCTCTTTATTTCTCTTGGTTCTTCCATATTGTCATTGCTGTGTATCTGTGAGAAATTCAAACATATGTTCACATACATTAGTCTAACATTAACATGCCCATGTCTAACATTTAGTCTAACATTAACACGGCCCGTGTTTGTGTCTGTATATCTGTATTTGTATCTGTATCTTTTTTAGTAAGCGGTAAGAAGATTACATGCAGTTCTAGTCGTTGTAGTGATGGAGTTGCCTTGAGAAGAGTAGCTATCCACAGGAGGTCGCATTCATTTGTGGGTATTTCAGCAATTGACAATAGTTTTAGATTAGAAAATGTGGGAAATTCCTTGGGCACAATCACAGCCTGAAACAGAACAGAAACAGAATAAGCGGAAAGTAAAGAAACAGAACAAGCAGAGTGTAATGAAACAAAAATAAACTTCCACAATTACAAATGTTATGAAAGACTCTGGTACAACCTCCGCGTAAAAGCTACCGTATAGCAACAAAGTCTCGAGCTGAGGAAGATCAAGAGGAAGAGCAGAGAGAGCCCAAACCACACCTTCATTGGCATGAATAGATACAGTTTTAAGCCGTGAGACCTCACTGAAGACGAAACTTATTTTATATCCCTTGTACTCAAACTTCTCAAGGTTGATGCCACTAATTTCAATGACACTCAAACTTTTGCAATCATGCACATTCAGATACTTCAGTCGAACACACGATGGATGAGCAACGCACAAATAATCTAAACCGTAGCATTTGTCTAAACTTAGCCACTCGAGGGCACGACAACTAGATAGGAGATTGCACACACATTCGTTGGATGTGAGATCTACCCATTTCAGATCAAGGGTTGTGAGGGTGTTGAAACCGATAAGATTAGTATGTCTTGGGGCCAAGTTGCAATGTGCTAATCTCAAGCACTTTAGAAATGACTTGATTTTGCCTATACTTCCATCTTCACGAAGAAGATCACATGGAAAATCATAAATGCTACCCTTAAGAGGGACAAAAAAGTAATAATCGATTTCTAACAAAGAAAGATCAAGCTCTTCTACTCCTCTCAAGATTGCGAAGCAGATCCACCGGTCAAGATGAGTACCATATTTATTGCGGTGAAAAGTGAAGTGCACTTTCAACTTTTCAATCTTGTGATCCGGGCTAAGGTCAGCTAAGAGCTGGTCGACAGAGTTCAGAAAGGCGAGCTTTCTTTTCCATGGGATTATGAGTTTGTGAATTTCACTTGTGTAAAGAATGTCAATGCTCGTGTACTCTTCTCTGTCCAATATGTTAGGAACATCAAAAGTAAGGTTAGAAAGAGATTTAGTCCAAAGGTACCTCCATTTAGTCGAGAGGACACTGGTCCTTACTGCTTCTCTCATTGTGAGAGACGAAAAGATGGCATTGAGAACATTGCAGGGAAGCTGGCTGATCCGATCATCATCATATTGGGAAGTCTTGCCTTTTTTTGCACTATGATCTTCCATGACGACCTTCTTGTATGCTCTGTCAAAATAGATAGAAAGCTATATATACTTATTCATGGATAAAAGAAGTCAAAGTTTGTTACATAGATGGGATAGACACTATGCAAAAAGACAAGACTCGACTAGGAAGTTGCAGGAATGGGAGTTGTCTACATTAGACTTACTGAAAACCCAAGGAGGTTCGCAAGATTAGATCAATATTTTGAAACCATTTAAAGGTACGAGTACATCTTAACCATATCTTCTTTTCTTTTCTTTTTTAATCTTTCCTGAGGAACCTAGGGATCACCAAGATCATACCAAAGATGATTATTACAATAACAACAGAAAAAACAAAATTTGGGACTTGATTAGTCCACCTTACCGAAAGGTCGTGACTTAGCTCCGAAACTTCCATATCTTTTGATTTTGTAATCTAATATTTATCAATATCTTAAATTTAATCCAATTGGATTTTTTTCATTGTTGGAAACTGGACAAATATGTAACTTTTCTTACTAATTGTTAGTCACTTTTTAACTTTTCTTAATATCTAATTTGATGATATAATGTTTGAATTAAACTTCCATCTCTATACAACTGTTTATTATACTGCTTGCTATTATTAACAGATAATGGGCCAGTCACTATCTGTATTTTGTTGCTATAAAGTGTACTGAATTTCATTGCCAATAGCCTTTATACCGACCCAAAACACTCATGGGCTTTTTGTATGCTTCAAGACTAGTTACTTTTTAATTGAGATCAAGCATGATTAATCCGTTGATTAAAGAATGAATAGTGAAAAAAAAAATCTTATTTAAACCTAGTGATTCTAGACGAATGCTAGGATTGAAGACATGAACAGTTGTTTGATTCACACAAAATTCTCAAAAGTTGTCTTTTGCCACTACACTACTCGGTTCATATAGAAAAACTAATTCTAAAACCCTAGATTAATGAAAAAGGAAACTAAAACAAATCCTAAATACAATGGATGAACTGCCAAAAAAACCAGTGCTAATCAAAGGCTTAGACTGAGCCTTGAATAAAGAATGAAATACGAAATGTTACTAGAAAAGGGAAATCAGCCCTAGAACAAAATACACAAAAACATAGTCAAACCGATTGATTTTGTCCAAAATTCGACAGGGTTGATGACAACAATGATTCTATAGATATTGTTGAAAACATTCCAAAATGTGATTTTTGGAAAATTTTTGAGCTTGGGGCCAAAATAGCTTTCACAAATGGGCCATTGAGAGCCTTATGTTATAATGGTCTCGGCCACCATGTCACTGCATCAGTTTGTCTCACTATATATTTGATTATGTTTTTCATTCAATTCTTTTGGTTTTCTCATTTCAGCAAAGAGAAAATTGAGTGACTAAGGTATTTAGCCTTAAAAAGGTCGTGTTTATTGCTGTATCTGTACATGTCGTACATCATAATAGTAATTAATTTCTCTGCAAAAATGTGTGTTTATTGCAACTTTTACAAGTTGCAGAACAACACTATAGAATAGAGGTTGATTCAATTAACAGTATAATGAAACAGATTCTCCTTCAACAACTGTTTTATAGTTACAAGTTCTATGAACACATTGAGCCTCTAAAATCTGTTGTCTGCATAATTGTAATGGTACTGAATAACCACATTCCTTGGCCAAATATTATTTAGAAGAAACAAAGGCATAGGATCCTCTGTCCCAAACATGTCTCAAAATTTCCACCACATAGTGTAGAGAGATTAGGCTAGAAACAAATGCTTCCTTTGGTTGCTTTTGTGCCTTAATCACACCTACCTTCAAGAACAAAACATCAATGAAGTATGACTTTAGTATCTTACTTCAACAAAATAACAAAGGAGAAACATGTGCATCTCAAACTAGATTATTGATTGAAAGTTCATAACATGTACTTTGAGGGATAGTACTTTCATTGTCAGATCAATGTGGGGAAAAATGTGATATATACTTCCATAACAAGAGGATGAACGATAAGATTGTTGGAACAATTTGTCTTGAATTCTTCAGTTGGTGGTCTTCGAGTCTTCAAAACTTGGTGATGAACTTGTCTATATAAAACAAAAATTTGATACTTCAAGTCGCGTTACAAAGTCACTTTCCTAAAGACAATATTTGCACCCACAAAAAAGTGTGCTGGGAGTTACAGCCAATTTGCCTCAAGAATACAATGAAGCCTAATCTAAAAATCAAGTCTAACGGCGTCTACATTGATGACAATAGATCAGAATACTCTTGATATAATTAAGAAAACCAAGACACTGATAATCAAATCTGCAAAACTTGATTACCAGTAAGAAAAGTAGAAATTTGCTTAAGAAACTCTTCATCGAAAACTCAAAATCAAGAGAAAGAGAGAGAGAGAGAGAGAGAGAGATAATTACAGGAATGCTTCTGAATTTTGTGGATCGAATGAAATGGATGATTTCACAGCTTATTTATAGGCCTTGATGCACTTGATCGAATGGTTATGTCCCTTGATCGCATCCAATCAGATCTGACCGTTGGATCGACGATCTACGGTGTAGATCATTCTTACACTGAATAGATGTCTTGACTAATCACACCTGATCACGATTCGGTGCTATCTCAACCGTATGATCGTGCGCATCTCCAATCAACGGCTATGATCAAATCACTCCAGATCAGATATACAACCGTTCGATTGGTTGGTTGACTTACCACCAACGGACGCCACGTGGAGCTGACTGTATTCCACGTCATTGCTCCAACCTGTCCGATGCAAATAGGAAAGCGCCCTCATGGCGCCTTTGCTAAGTGCAAAGTGCGCCATCAAACGCCACACAGCCCACTGCCCACGCCACGCGCACGCGTGTGTGTGCATGTGCGGATTGTGAGAAGCACCATCCTTGCGATGTGAGTGCATGTACACTAGCATTCATCCCATAATACCATATTTAAAGGAATATTCCATGTAGCACTTTATTAAGTACTCCATGTTTTCCTCTCTTTCCGATGTGGGACAAAGCCCTAAGCTTATTTCATGCTTTCCAAAGAAAAACATGGAAGGTTTTGAAAACACCCAAAAATAAACTATAAATTTGAAAACCCATTTTGAAAATTCCCCAACATTCCCCTACCATTTTCAAAATATCAGATGATGATTCTTGGTTCACTTGGCAGCCTTATGCATAGGTGAAGATATCTTACGATTTGAATCATTCACTTAGTGAAGACATCTCAAAGATAGTCAAGATGGCATAGTAGACTTGTCTTTGAGTTAGTGATCTTATACGACTAACTTGACATGTCTCACGCACAGTATAGGTTACCTCAAGTATTCAAACAAACTGACACGTGGGTTAGCCTTGTGTTTATATCCTGTTTCATGAGCGCTCTAGAGTCAAGCCCTTGGACTCATAGGAAGCAACACCACCTCCTACACTCACATAGGTAAGCTTACTAAAAGTACCCCTATAATTTATAGTATCCTAACAACTCAGTTGTAAGCTTATTAGGAGTTTGCTAACTCATCCTCTTCTTTTCACATTACAGGTACCAAGCATTTCAACCTTGGGATGAAAATGAAATAAAACTAAGTGCTTGCAATCACGACATATGGTGTACTTGGGCTCATTGAACTCAAGACTTGATGTTTCTTCAAGCGTTGAGTTGAGTTTCCACCAGGAGTGATTATATTAAGTGGACTTAAGACCTATCCCTTTTGATGTTTTCCACACCAAATCCCTTGCAAGTCCCTTTGTTAAGGGGTCAACCAAGTTTTCACTTACCTTCTGTGATTAACTGCCTGACATAACTATGTCTTAGTCCTATATGTCAAGACTTTCCATTATAGACATGGCTATAGGCCTGTGATGGAGTTGCTTCACTATCACAATGCAAAGATATTTGTGGCATAGGTTTGGGCCATATCTGAATCTCTAACAAGAGATTCCTTAGCCACTCTGCCTCTTTGCTACAAGAAGCCAATGCTACAAACTCTGACGCCATGGTTGAATCTGTTATGCATGTTTGCTTCTTAGAACCCCAGGAGATAGCTCCTCCTCCAAGAGTAAAAATCCAACCACTCGTGGACGAGTGATCTTCATGGTCAGTTATCCAACTAGCATCTGTGAATCCTTCTAGCACTGCTGGATAGCCATTATAGACTATTCCATAGTCTATTGTTTTCCTCAAGTACCTAAGTACTCGGTTAACAGCATGCCAATGCACACTATTAGGATTACTAGTGTATCTATTAAGTTTTCCCACTGCAAAAACAATATCAGGTCTAGTGCAAGTCATGGCATACATCAGGCTACCTATTACTTTTGAGTATTCTAGCTGATCAACAGCTCTTCCAATATTAGGATACAATTTCAAATTTGAATCAAAAGGTGTAGACATGGGTGTACAATTATGTTGATCAAATTTCTTAAGAATTTTCTCAATATAGTACAACCGGATTAGAATCTTAATACCCAGAATTACATCAGCCAAGTCCATGTCTTTCATACTAAAGCTAGACGACAAGAAACTTTTAGTACTTTCAATGACATCATTGTCAGTACCAAAAATAAGCATGTCATCTACATATAGACATATGATTACACCTCTATTGCCAGTAAACTTACTCTATACACACTTATCAGATTCATGTATCCTAAAACCATTTGACACTATTACTTTGTCAAATTTCTCATGCCACTGTTTTGGAGCTTGTTTCACTCCATATAGTGACTTCACAAGTTTACACACTTTGTACTCTTGACCCTGTACAACGAATCCTTCCGGTTATTGCATGTAGATTTCCTAATATAACTCTCTATTTAGGAAAGCGGTCTTAACTTCCATTTGATGGATTTCAAGCTTATAGGTTGAGGCTAAGGAAATCAACACTAGAATGGTGGCAATTCTGGCCACCGGAGCATATGTATCAAAATAATCGATACCCTCTTTTTGAGTAAAACCCTTAGCAACTAATCTTGCTTTGAACTTGTCAGTTGTGCCATCAACTTTTATCTTCCTTTTCAAA